CATCTAGAGGAGGCAGGAGACATTGAATCTTCTCTCAGAATAAAAGCAGCTTAATCCTCTCCCCTGTGATTTAGTCTTTTGTTGTTGGAGGTGATTTTTTTTTTTATTTAGTCCTCCTGCCTCAACTTCTGGAGTGCTAAGATTATAAGGGAACTCCACTACTAATGACTATTAAAATAATTTTAAATTGCATTGAATAACCTCAGTAAAAAAGAAGTAAATTACTGATTAAAAGGTCTTATGAGCCCTCCTGCCTAGATTCTATGCAGGCAATTTGGAAAGGACTTAATACCTGTCTTATCCATTTGTAGACTACGCATGCTACGTGATTGACCAAACACACAAGAATTTCCCACTGGCGCAGTAGGCGCTGGACTGTTTTGAAGATAACCGTTTTGTGATTAGACTGACAGCCATGTAAGTAGAAGGAAATACATACCTGGCACTATAAACCAGATCCAATGACTGCACAAGAAAGACATGGACCAAAGGAGGAAATATAGGGCCATTCTTTCACTAAGTGTACAAGTTGTCAAATGACTTTCTAAACATATTTATATACACAGTCTCAGTCTAGGACAGAGAAACACTTGTTTGTTTTTGTTTTTTCTCTTCTAGAAATTGATGGTTAATTCAGAGATCCTTATGAGTGCTGAAAATAAATGCCACTCTGGTATTCAGCCCATTATACCATACGTCTCAGAGAAAATCCCAGAAGGCACATGAAGAATGTAAAAATGGGGTAGATATGACTCAGAGTACTGGCTTATCTGCCAGAGGACCTTAGTTTAAGTCACGGAATCCACATGGCTTCTAAAAAGTATCTGAAATTCCAGTTCCAGGGGACCCAATTTTCTCTGTGAAACTCCTTTCCCATTGTGTACACATAGTGCGTGCTCGTACACAAAGGGAAAAGAGTCATGCATATAAAATAAAAATAAAATCTCCCCAAAATGATAAAGGAAATGTAACAATTGAAGGGTAGATGTGGAAGAAATGCCATAGGACACTGTCATCAAATATGGCATGGTAATAATAATCATGAAAACATAGCAGCATTGGATAGCTCCACAAACTGGACCCTTAAACATTTCCTTACATATAAACGTGTTCATAAAGCTGTATTTTATCTGGGGAGCTAATGGCTGATTTCAGGAGGAGGTATAGCATTTCCTTCAGTGAAGTAGCCATGAGAAGACCTGCAGGAAAGAGGAGAGTCAGAAAAAAAAGGAAAAATAATATCTAGATTACCATTTATTTTTCCATATTTTTATTATTAAGAACAATTAGAAATCATGAAGTCAGCTATCAGAGAAGAACAGCCAGTCACTCGTTCCTACCACTACTAAATTCTCAGACCAAAGGAATAGCCCTGTTCCTATGAATCTTCAGACTGAATGGTCAATCCTGTCTCTGGGAATCCTCAGACTGAACGCCTTGAGCTCTTGCTTCCTTTTTCCTTACATTCCTCTCTCTGCCCAGGCCTATCGCTTCCTCTCTCCACCTACCTAGTACTGTGCTTAAAGGCTTGTTACTCCCAACTACTAGAATTAAAGGTGTGAGCCACCACAGCTTGGGTCTGTTTTTCTTTTAAACTGAATCAGTCTAGTGTAGCCCAGGGTGGCCTTGAACTCACAGAGATCCATCTGCCTCTGCCTCCCAACAGCTGTGATTAAAGGTGTGTGCCACCACTGCCTGGCCTCTACGGCTAACTAGTGGCTCGTTCCACACTCTGATCTACAGCAAGCTTTATTTTTTATAGTACAAACAGATTATCACCACAATACACACAATACATTGTATAGAAGTATGAAATTATTTTTTAAAAAGAAATAAACATAAAGATAACAAATAAATAAATAAATCCCAAAGGCATTTGGACTGTTTGATGACACATAAAATTTCAGTTGTATGCTTTTAATGCCCATCAAGAAATTTATTGTGAGCTGAGCAGGTTGGAACTGGATAACCCCAGCTTTTGATTGCCTGAAGCCGAAGGAACACTAGCTTGTAACCTGCTTGTTCTACACAAAGACTTTTAATACACCATGGAAAGAGAAAAATGAAAAAAAAAAAGAAAAGTAAGCTCATTGTTATACATGAATAGTCAGCATTTTGATATATAAGGCAATTTTCCATTACTTTTCTTCTTCTTTTATTTATTTATTTTGGGCATGATGATAACATGCCTTTAATTCATCTCTTAGGAGGAAGAGTCAGGAAGATTTCTGAGTTCAAGGGAAGCTTTGTCTACAGAACCAGTTTCAGGATCACCAGGGCTATACAGAAAAACCCTGTCTTGAAATACTAACTAAATTAATTAATATCTATTATCAAAAGTTAAGAATTTTTGTATATAATTTAATTTTAACAGAAACACTTTTGTTTTTCTATCCTTCATTTTATTCTGAATATCTCTTATTGGTAGTATAATCTTCATGCTATTCTTATTAAATTTAATTTTCATATGTCACACTGGTCATTGCCACACTGCCTTTTTGGAGTAAAAGGTAATAAACTATTTGAAGATGGTATTTCATAATATATCTAAGTCAGAAATTCTGATAGCTATTTGTCTAATATGACTCTAGTTTGAGGAGGATCAATCAAAATGTAAAGGGAGAGTAGTCAATGCGAAAGCTTAAATCTTAGTATAATTATCAATAATGGTAAATTAACTAAATTATGTTTATTTTAATGAAATTCAATTTGTTCTTTGGGTCTCTTCCCATAAAGAACTTGTTGGCATGTAAAAATTAAATCCCACCCCACGGCGAGGGTGTGGTTTTGTGTGACTGCAAGGAACACCGTTTCTTCTTCTCATCAGCCAGTGTGTTTGGGGCTTTGGAATTTTGGTTTGCTGTGATTTTTTTTTTTCTTCAGTGGCTTGCCCATTCCTGTCAACATCAAACTGCATCTAAAGTACCTTAGGACTTGATCATGGCTTCAGGGAGGAAGATATTTTAGCTCTAGGTGCAGTTGTTTATATTGAAACAGAAATGGTTTTGTTCCACTTAATCTCTCTAGAGTTCTCAGTTGCATAGCTTTCCCTTACTGAAACTGTCTGTGAGGAGACTGCTTCCTCTGCCTGCACATAGGAATCAGTTAACTTAAAAGGAGAAATAAGAAGCTGCAAAAAATGTACCCCCTTTGCACACATACACATACTGGTGCATGTAAGAGTTAAATGCTCATCTCTATCCTTCCTCCAACCAAATTTTACTAAGAGCACAACAATTTTCATATATATGATGCATGGATTTCTTCCCAGTTACCTAATCAGCTCTGAGATCCATAAATAAGTGAATGAATAAGCAAATAAATAAATAAATAAATCCTTCAAGCACCTGTATACTTTCTCTAACCTTGAAAACATCCCTAATACCAGTTTTGCTTGCAAATTTTCATTCCTCAGTCTTCCCAAAATACAGTCTTACATGTGCATTTGATTTTATGCAAATTATTAACATGCCTGTACAGCTGATAAGCTTGAAAAGACATAACTGAAAGGAAAAGTATTGTTAAGTAAGTCATCACTGCTTAGCTACAGAATGGACAGTGGCCCACACCTTTGATGTTTGATCCCAACACTGAGGAGGCAGAAACAGAGACAGGTGGTGGATCTCTGAGCTCTAGGCTAACCTTGTCTACAGTGAGAGTTTCAGGACTGCCAGAGCTACAAAGAGGAAACCTTGTGTCCTCTTGCGGGAAGGAGAAGGCAGGGAGAATCAAAGAATTTATCTGCTTATTTTTTAAAAGTTCTATAAATACAAAAACCTAAAAACATGCACAATATTCTTCCTATTTTGAAAAGTATGCCACCTCTGTTAAAAGTCAGTTTCACTGACTTCCAAGAAAAAGCAAAATCTCAACTTTAGTTTTTAAGGACACTGTTTTTTGTTTTTGGTTGTTTTTTTTTTTTTTTTTTTTTTGAGTTCTAGGTCTGAGTAAAGTGCTTATCCTCTGCCTGGGGATACTGTCAGCATCATTCTCCTTAGCCTCATTGACCCAGGGTGAGCTGAGAAGGGGGTACAACTACCCTGACTACAGAGCAGGACTTCTACTTTCTCCTGTCAGGACACAACTTGTTACTTACTTGTATGTATATTAAATTCCTCACATCTGGGATAGAAACTTTGTAAGGTGTGTGTGTGTGTGTGTGTGTGTGTGTGTGTGTCTGACAGCATGCATGTGTGGTGGCTGAGTGCCTGCATACCAAAGGGTTTTTAAGAGCCTTCGTAATCTGGGAATTTCCCTCATCCCCTTCCCTCATTTTCTGAATGTCACTGGAAGCTTTGTGGTCTGAAATCAAAGACCGTAAGCAGGCATTGTGCTTTCATTCTGCAGATTTAAATAACGCTCTAGCAATACCACCAGAAAAACCTAACTCCCTAGGACCAAATTGACTGAATTCTGCAACAACTTTACAATGGAAAAGTATATGCCTCAATACTACACCTGGAAACAAATATTCTCTACCAAATTGTGATATTATGTAATATATATATACATATATATATGCACATACATTCCGAATAGCCACTTTCTATGTACAAAAATAAAATAAGAGGTTCCAAAGGCATCAAACAGTATAAAACGCTGTACCGCAGAGAAGGCAGAAACGCATTTAAAGCACCGATGAAAATGGCGTGCAATATAATTACCTCAAATTGCTGTTCGCTTGACACCCTGACACTAATTTTATTCAAGCCATTGGGAAATAAATGTTTTAAAAGCCGTGCTTTCGGAACGCTGGAACTTGCGGGGGTTGTGAGGTCTTTAAGGAAAGGAAAGGGTAAAGATTCTAGCAAGCAAAAAAGAATTAAATAATCAATTTAAAATAAGCTTCTATGTAGATCGACAGTCTTTAATACCCACGTTTTTAACGCTTGCCCTATACGTGGATTTTTTTTTTTTTCTTTCAGCATTCCCTCACCAGATGGATTTTTGCTACTGCAGATCAGCAGAGGGTGTCAGATCTTTCAGAGTGCACCAGGCTGGAACCAGCAGAGCTTCTTAGCAACTCCCCCCCTCCTCCCCTTTCTCGCGCTCTCTTCCTCCCTCAGACAACTCGCTCCCCCTCTGTCCTCCCCCCTCCACGTAATTCCGAAAGAGCAGAAGAAAGAGAAGGAGAACAGCAAAGAAGAGCGAGTAGGCACCGGTTGGAGAACAGAAAAAAAAAAAAAGGAGGACTGAAGACGGCCAAAGGGGATAAAAAGGATCAGGATGGACATCCACAAAACGCAGCGATTGCGGAAATTTTCCAGCGCCATTGGCTGGGCAGTGTGAGTCTTTCGGTCGGGCGTGATTTCAGCACCGGGGGCTCTGGACAGCACCTCGGGGGTACTTCTGAGCAACCCACAATCAAGACAGGAACTCCTCCAGCTGCCTGGACCTCTGAAGCTGCCGAAAGCTCTGCTTTGTATCAGAAAGGCAAGGTCAGTCCGACGCACAGCCATCACAGGCAGTGCGCCTGTACTACGCTGCAAACCTGCTTGTTTCTAACATGCACTTGCTTCTAATTGCTAGCATTGTTCCCTTCCTGGTTAGTGAGGACGTCTAAACATGATTCTGTAAGGGTGCGTTTCCTTTTAATTTTACAGGTATATATTTTACTTATTTTTAAAGGGTTGAGGGGGGAGTAGTTTGCTTTCTCTCTTTTTCTCTCTTCCCCTACTTTCCACCCCCCACCCTTTTCTGCTTGCTTTGCACTCTGTGCTTGGATAGTTTGTGGATATAATTATTGACTGGCGTCTGGGCTATTGCAGTACGGGGGGGTTAGGGAGGGAGGAATCCACCCCCACCCCCCCAAACCCTTTTTTCTCTTTCTCTGGGATCGGACATTGGAGCACTAAATGAACTTGAATTGTGTCTGTGGCGAGCAGGATGGTTGCTGTTACTTTGTGATGAGATCTGGGATGAATTGCTCGCTTTAAAAATGCTGCTTTGGATTCTGTTGCTGGAGACGTCTCTTTGTTTTGCCGCTGGAAACGTTACAGGGGACGTTTGTAAAGAGAAGATCTGTTCTTGCAATGAGATAGAAGGGGACTTACACGTAGACTGTGAAAAAAAGGGCTTTACAAGTCTGCAGCGCTTCACCGCCCCGACTTCCCAGTTTTACCATTTATTTCTGCATGGCAATTCCCTCACTCGACTTTTCCCTAATGAGTTCGCTAACTTTTATAATGCGGTTAGTTTGCATATGGAAAACAATGGCTTGCATGAAATCGTTCCGGGGGCTTTTCTGGGGCTGCAGCTGGTGAAACGGCTGCATATCAACAACAACAAGATCAAGTCTTTTCGAAAGCAGACTTTTTTGGGGCTGGATGATCTGGAATACCTCCAGGCTGATTTTAATTTATTACGGGATATAGACCCGGGGGCCTTCCAGGACTTGAACAAGTTGGAAGTCCTCATTTTAAACGACAATCTCATCAGCACTCTACCTGCCAATGTATTCCAGTATGTGCCCATCACCCACCTCGACCTCCGCGGAAACAGGCTGAAAACATTGCCCTATGAGGAGGTTTTGGAGCAGATCCCTGGCATTGCTGAGATCTTGCTCGAGGATAACCCTTGGGACTGCACCTGTGATCTGCTTTCCCTGAAAGAATGGCTAGAAAACATTCCCAAAAATGCCCTGATCGGCCGAGTGGTCTGCGAAGCCCCCACCAGGCTTCAGGGTAAAGACCTCAATGAAACCACGGAACAGGACTTGTGTCCTTTGAAAAATCGAGTGGATTCTAGTCTCCCGGCTCCTCCTGCCCAGGAAGAGACCTTCGCTCCTGGCCCCCTGCCAACTCCTTTCAAGACAAATGGGCAAGACGAGCATGCCACCCCAGGGTCTGTTCCAAATGGAGGTACAAAGATCCCGGGCAACTGGCAGCTCAAAATCAAACCCACACCACCGATAGCAACTGGGGGCGCCAGAAACAAACCCCCAGGCCAAGGCTTGCCCTGCCCCGGGGGCTGCAGCTGTGACCACATCCCAGGTTCAGGTTTAAAGATGAACTGTAACAACCGGAACGTGAGCAGCTTGGCTGATTTGAAGCCTAAGCTCTCCAATGTTCAAGAGCTTTTCCTCCGAGATAACAAGATCCACAGCATCCGAAAATCTCACTTTGTGGATTACAAGAACCTCATTCTGTTGGATCTGGGCAACAACAACATCGCGAACATAGAGAACAACACTTTCAAGAACCTTTTGGACCTCAGGTGGCTGTACATGGATAGTAACTACCTGGACACGCTGTCCCGGGAGAAATTTGCTGGGCTTCAGAACCTGGAGTATCTGAACGTGGAGTACAACGCGATTCAGCTCATTCTCCCTGGTACTTTTAATGCCATGCCCAAGCTGAGGATTCTTATTCTTAACAACAACTTGCTGAGGTCCCTACCCGTGGACGTTTTTGCTGGGGTTTCCCTGTCTAAACTCAGCCTGCACAACAATTACTTCATGTACCTCCCAGTGGCAGGGGTGCTTGACCAGTTAACCTCTATCATCCAGATAGATCTGCATGGCAACCCCTGGGAGTGCTCCTGCACCATTGTGCCTTTCAAGCAATGGGCAGAACGTCTGGGCTCCGAGGTGCTGATGAGCGACCTCAAGTGTGAGACGCCGGTGAACTTCTTTAGGAAGGATTTCATGCTGCTCTCCAATGACGAGATCTGCCCCCAGCTGTACGCGAGGATCTCGCCCACGTTAACTTCGCACAGTAAAAACAGCACTGGGTTGGCGGAGACCGGGACGCACTCCAACTCCTACCTAGACACCAGCAGGGTGTCCATCTCCGTATTGGTCCCGGGACTGCTCCTGGTGTTCGTCACCTCCGCCTTCACCGTGGTGGGCATGCTCGTGTTTATCCTGAGGAACCGAAAGCGGTCCAAGAGAAGGGATGCCAATTCCTCAGCGTCCGAAATTAATTCCCTACAGACAGTCTGTGACTCTTCCTACTGGCACAATGGGCCTTACAATGCAGACGGGTCCCATAGGGTGTATGATTGCGGCTCTCACTCACTCTCAGACTAAGCTCTACACCCTAAAGGAGGAGAAGTGCAGGAGGCAATACACACTCTGCCGCCAGCATCTCGTGGGAGCAGGAGAACATTGACCCAGATCTGGTGTGTCACAAGCCTCGACGGACATAAGTAAATAAATAACTATGAACTCACTCCACTAAGAGGCTCTAGCCCCTAAGCTTCCCTCTGAAAACAAAGAGCAGGCTGTGGAGCTGGGAGTGCAGCTAACTCGCTCTTTGCGCCTTTTGACTAAAAGCATGGGGCCTGCCAGAAGAATCGAGCGACCTCGCTCTGGGCCAAAGGTCCCTTGGGGCTGGCTGCAGTGGCTCTATACATATATACATATATCACATCTATATAGAGAGATAGATATCTATTTTTCCCCTGTGGATAGCCCGAAGATGGCTCCCTGTTGGTTATGCAGGGATGGGCAGTTGCACGAAGGCATGAATGTATTGTAAATAAATAACTTTGACTCCTGACAAGAACAAAAAACAAAAGAAGTGCTGCATGGCTCGCATGGAATCCCGATGCTCCAGGGACTCTGACCCCCAATCCCAACGCCCCACTGAGACTGGAGACAGCGTCACAGCACCCATCCTCTTACCTGATAAGTCCCATCGTATCAAACTTTCTATAAACAAATTACAGTATAATCAGAAAGTGCCATTTCGCCATTATTTGTGATTGGTAGGCAGTTCAGAGAGTATGTTTACTGTGAAAAAAAAATGTAAAGGTTTTATTTAAGACATTTGCATGGCTAGTCATCAGTCCATTTTATGAGTTAACAATGTATTTTGTTGAGCAAAGTTTTTAAGGGTTGTCTTGGATTATCTTATTTTGACGGTGATGTTTGTTTTTATTTTAGTTTCTGAGGGGGAATATTTTTCTATACATATCCAATAATGCCTTCCATCTGAATGTAAAATAAGTACCCATGATTTCTATTATAGTAACAGTGTAATTATTTAAGAAAAAAGATTCTGGGGCAGTTAAGCATGACCAATTAATGTCATTCTAGTGCTTAGGCTGCGATCCTATGGTAGCAATTGTGTGCTGGTATAAATCTTACTTATAAAGTAGGAACAAAGAACTGAGGAAGCACGTGAAACTTACTAATTCTATTCGAGGATTTTATAATGGCATATTTTTTCAGTATTAAAGTGAAAATGTTTTCAAATCTGGGTCCTTACATTTTTCCAGTTTTCTATGTGGATTTATGGTTGAAGGGATGGGGGAGGGGGACGGTTGGGGTGGCTCCTTTTCTGGGTACCAGAAAGGGTCTCATTATAATCACCTTAATGTTTAAATATTCACTAGCTCTCCTCCTCACAGTCCTTCACATCCTCTTCGACTTTACTGCTTTTACACTGTCCATAAAGTATGGTTTTACCCTAACAACCTCCCTCCCTTCCCCCTCTCCTAATGCGTCAGTGAATGCCTTTATTAATACTGGAAATCCCTCACTGTTGATTTTGTTGTTCCTGCCCACACTGCAGATATATTGGAGATGTTAGTATAGATTTGATTTAATTGACTCTGTCTAGATAGGTCTCATTAAACAGAGAGGGATTTCATTGGTCAGCACTCCGCCATGAAAGACAGCCCTAATGACTGCTGGTTGAAATGCTGCTGGCATTTTGAATTCCACATCTGCTGAAAACGGGAAAACTAATTAGTGGCCACCCACCCTCCCCGCCCCAGCAACTACATATTGAAAATGGTTGAAGTACTCATCTTTATGGAAATCAATCATTATCCTAAAGAAGTGTTTCACTCTTATCATTCCAGTTTTGGCTATGGCCCAGTAATTTTCAAGGGAAAGCAGCAAACTATTGGAATTTTACTGACCAATGTAATTCTGGTCTGAGGCAGATGCCAGAGCAAATTCTAAGCAAGTCCATTTTATCAGCAGTGAGGGTACAAACCACACATATTGATGGGATCTGCATTCCACCACATACACACTCTTGTGAAGAATGGCAAAGATAGCAGAGCACACACTGAAATCACAGGATTCAAAGTTAGCTGCGTGAAAGCCCCCCAGAAGCTGTTGTAACTAGATTTGCCAGTTAGAATTCTCATTCTAAAGGGAAATAGTTTCCTAGAACAGCGATGTTCTGGAGTATGTATTCTTTCTTTTAACACTTTTAAAACAAAATCTTTATTGTAAACTATGACTCTTCCTCAGGGCACCCATTATTTATTTTTCTCGATTCTTTTGTTTGTGAGTTGCATTTCCTAATGAAAAAATAGGAAACGATTGCTCTCTGGCAGTTGCTCTTGGTTATTTACTTATTATTTGTTTTTCATAAGAAAGCTTTAAAACTTTTATGGGGAAAATTCTGCACTTTTGGCAAGCAATCAACAGATTTGTTCATTGTGAAAAAGATGGTAAAGGAGGTGAGTAATGTCTCCTATGACCTTAAGAAAGAAAAGAGGATAAAGGGAAGCCTTACAAATGTCTCTCATGAAAGGCAGCATTTATGCATTCACTGAAAACTTTCGACTGGGGCATAGTAGGAGTTTTACAATTGATACATGATTAGGAAAGATTAGGGAACAGAATCTGTCTTAGAAGGTGTGAACAGAGAAATTTTCCTTAAGTAAACAGAAATTTCAGTGTAATAGTCTTGTCAAAGCAATCAAATTGTCCAAATAATATTTTAATGACCTTTCTTAGTATTTGTATGCCAAACATGCTACTTTACACTCTCAATTAAGTTTCAAGGTCACAGGGCAATTTTCCAAATATTGTTATTTCCATTATATAGATGAAACGAGTGAGGCTCAAGGACAGTACATGATAATTTAAATCATATATGCTAAAAATGGAATGACATCTAATTCAATTTCCTTCATTCTTCAAAACCTCATTTTTATATAGAGCAATCATCATACCAAGCTTTTAAAGATTATTAAAACACAAAATCATAATACTCTCACCATTAAACAGATTGGGAATGAGTTTCCTGCTTCCCACTTATAATAGTACTGGCCTTGTGCACCATTAGTTTGTCTATGACAAAACAATTTTACCTCGGATTCAGTGAGTGAGCTAAATTTGCACTGCTCTCCCTTAGATTAAAAGAAAATAGTTAAGGAAAAAGATGAGTGTACCTTAGGATAAATACTCATACCACTGAATCTATATTAAGTTTGCATTGATTCCAATCTCAAGAATGCTGCTAGAATCTTAATAAATAATGATATACATGAAAGCCTATAGAAAAAGCATGGCCTATGACTTCATGATTATAATAATTGATTATTAAGACTGACTGTTCTTTATTCACTTTAGTAGAGCATCTCTGCCACAATTTAATTTACCTAGCAAAGTTCTTTTAAACAATTCACAGAGCCACATACAAGTAAGTAGGACACATAATGTATGTGGTTTCTCACATGTGTTTTATGTGGAAGTGCTTAGTGTTTTTTATTTTCTATTTACACAAAATGCTAATATAACTGTATTTTGATGTTCATAGATAATGTATCCTGTTTCTAGTTAAATCATTTTTGAATGTATCACAATGAGCTGAAAAGTGTTTTATGGTGACCAATGGGAAGGAGAAGCAGCCAGAGTATCCTATAAATGGCTTTGAAGAAACTCTAAGCTGCTGTGGTTACTGCTGTAATTAAGATCCTGCTAGAATTTAAGTTGTTGCCATAGAAATTTGTCTAATTCTTTTTTCTTGTTTATACAGGAGGAAGCTGGGATAACTGTTTTAACATTAAGACAATGCAGTTGCTTTTCCTAACAATATTTGTACTATGTTTAATTAGAATTGTCAGAAATTTCAGTAACAGCTAAAATTATACTGGTCAATTCAAAGACAATATATTATTTGGCTCTAAGATTTTTTACAAAGCATAGTTAGCATAGAGAAAGAAAGACATGATTTTTCAAGTGTGAAGGTGAAGTGTGTATTGATAATAGGATTGTAGAATGTTAAACAATATTGGCTTTTTTTCAGCACTTCCGCTGGCTTGTTTATACATATTTTTATTTGAGGTGCTTTCTTGAATAAAATGGTAATATAAATTATGCTAACAATTTAATTTCAGTATTGAGAATTCTTCACCTTTATTTTGTTTTTTCTTTCAAATTGTAATCTGCTATATTTTTGAAGGCTAGATTCAATATAATATCAATGAAAGTCAGGAAAATCATGTTTCAATGATTAATATAATATTATCTATATATATTAGAACTAAAGGAAGAGAGCTAAATTCATTAAAATTTAAATTTCTCACTATCATTTTTTTTCCACCTGTATCCTTGCTAGAAGATATTTTCCAAACTCACACACAGGACAATTTTTATGTTAGTATTCATATTAATATTGAAACTTAAAGCCACACCATCAAATCGATTTCATGAGATCGTCTTGTACAGTCCCGTGACAGTCCATGAGACCATCCCCGACAGTCCATGACACTACCTCCTACAGCCCATTAGCCTACCCGTTACCCATTATAGTTCATGAGACCTTTTACTAGAGTCCATGAGACCACTCATTATAATCCATGAGGCCACCCCCAACAGTTCATGAGATCATCCGTTCCATAAGACCACTCCCTACAGGCCGAGAAGTGGAGCAACATAAACAGGTGTTGACCATGCTAAGTGCTATCAAAATTTGACTGGATTTCAGAAACGAAAGTAGAAGAGTTAAGGTCATGATGAAATAACTGTTCAAGAATTATACTTTGTAAATAAAATAGACCACTGAAGAAATCATCTTGGGATTTCTTTAAATCTTTAAAGCTCATTGGCTCCTTTAAACCGCACGCAGTACACTGATAATTTCAGTTTATAGTTTTAGACCTGGTTTGTCAAACTATTGGTTAGACTATTAGTTTTTCTTCTGTTGAATTCTAAAATAGACTGATTAGAGTATATTGTTGACATAGAGTTGTATTTCATTTGTCATACAAATTTTCTGGAATTATTTATGAGCATAAAGTATGTTTATTTGTTGGCAGTTTTAGTCATGTACTTTCTAGATAAAGAATATGGTACCCCTTGGTGTCTTAAGAAATTAATACCTAGACCTTCCAATAATACCAAAATATGCAGATACTCGTCTTCCTTAAAATGATAATGGAGTTAGTTTAAGCTTATCATTCCACAGGGTCATCTGCAAGTTGCATTTAAGACCCAATACAATTCCATATATAGTCTGTCATTATTTGCTGTTGGATCAATCCTGACAAATGGTCTGCACATGTCATTACAGGAACGTCTTCTTTGATATTGTTCAGATTGGTGCTGGAACCCAGTTTTAAGTGATCTTCCTGCCTCTCACTTACATGTGGCAGATTATAAAGGCTTTCATCATAGATAAAATGTGTGTGTGTGTGTGTGTGTGTGTGTGTGTGTGTTTGAAGTGGGTGTACTTGACTATGTACAGGTAGAAACTGTGAAATGACGGCAGATATCTTCCTCAAGTGCCTCTCCATCTTAGCTCTTTGGGACAGTGTCTCTCAGTCTACCTGGAGCTTCCAGCATCACCTAGAGCTCCCAGGATTCTCTTTTTTACATCAGTCAGTGCTGGGATACAGGCAAATCTTGGTGTTTATGTAGTTCTTGATAAATCATGTATATTCCTTTACCTGCTGATCAATTTTTAGAAGCCCATGGGAGATGAATTTGAAAATGCTTATTTCAAAATTTTTAATTGGTTCAATATTCCTAGAACTAATTGTACTGTAGGTTGTTTCTTATGAAAATAATATCAGGTGATTCTCATCTTAAGGGGTCTAGAACATATGAGGATAGGATATATGCACCATTTGAATATGAATATAACACATCAGCGGCAGTGTGTAACCCTAGTAGAACATCTTATATTGCTTTAACAATTTAGGTAATTAGCCATTACAATCATTTTTATCAACTAATATGCACTAAGTTAAAACTATCAAATACTGTTTTAAATGAAGGATAGTTATGTTATCCTTATTTTTTAATATATAAATAATTTTCATCATTATATACTACCATTCAGGCTTCTTAAAATAATTATTTTAAAGAGATATGGCTTTTGAAAAAAATCTTGAACAAATTACAGATAACTTTTTAGCTTACAGGACTCAAGAAATAAAATGTTATCTTTTAGAATTGAGTAAACTATACTATTGCTTTAGAAATAGTCATCATGGGATCCTTAATTA